TTTTTAAATTAAAATAATAATTATATTTTTCTTTCTATTATTAATTCAACCACAATTATATTCTTTATGCACTTTTGTATAATTTTTTTTTTTCTAGATTTAATAAATTGAATGTACAATAAATACATAAAAAATATGTTAATAAGAATTATCAAAACAATTAATATTGAGTGAATCGTTGATGAAATTCATGAGTTGAAAGAACGTTCAGTCGAAATTTGTTACGGTTTGGAACTTATATAATTTAATCTGCACTGTTATTATTATTATATAATTATTTCAAAATACAAATTTTATAATTTGTATTGCGCTGTTATTACTATATATCTATTTATAACACATCTTCTTATTTTTATGTTCATTAAATCAAATGTATGATTGTTAAAAATATATAGTAACCCTCAAAATAAATTTCTGGATCCGCCCCTGTTTAAATCGTAAGAATGATTAAATTTGGACACCGATAATAATTAACAAAATAATTCAAGTCAAAATTAATAATTGATAGAGTTTCTAAAAATCGTGATAAATAAACCGAGCCTTAAGAATTATTCATTAAGTACGATCAAGTAAATCGACTGCCTCTTTATCTTCCCAAATGATTCTTCATTACATCAGAATAGAAGAGAAAAGAGTTCATGGTCTTTGAACGATCTTCAATTCCAAATTACATTTGAGTTCCAACACAATCAATCGAAACGAGATCATCAGGTACACTTCTACTATTCGATTATGATTTTCAAATTGTTCGATACAGAGGGATAAAGTGGTGAGGTTCACATAAAATTATTTACATTATAAAACAGACACAATTTTATTTATATTATTTTTGAAAAAAAAAAAAAGAAAAAAGAAACATGCACATATACATTAAAAAAATTAAAGAAGAGTGACATAATTCATCATAGCTGGCCTTCACACTATTGGTGCGTGTCCACTAACACCAACAAATTTACAGACTTTGAGCCATTCAAGCATTAACTCCCGCATTTCCCGTTTCTTTCCTTTTTCTTCTTCACACTTTCTTAATTCTTTATTCTATCAAAATATTACAAAAAATTGCATTATTTTACAGACTCGCCCATATAAAAAAGTACAGACATTCTACACCGTAATCAAAGTTTATAAATAAATTTGTACCAAAATAAAAGTTTATAAATAAATTATTTTTATCAAATTTTTAATTATTTTATTTTTCTTCACATTCGTTGTAGACCACTCCCTGCAAATATTACACACATTCTGCGTCAGTCCATCTCTCTCTTCCTCTTTTTCACGCTCTCTTTTTTTCTAGAGAGAGAAAGTGGAGAGAGAGAAAACAGCTGCACTAAAAGGGGTCTCCTTTTTCTTCCATTCGGGCTTTGACTCCCCAGATTTTCTTCCTCTTTCCCCATTTTTGTTCCTTTTTTTTTTTAATTTTTCAAAATTCAGCTCAATCTTAATTATTACCGATTCTTTGTCTGTTTATTTTGTTTTTCTGAGATCCCTTTGCTGTCTTGTAATAATCTCCCCATTAATCCGTTCAAACTTTTGGTTATTTTGCAGAAAGATTGAATTTTTATTGGTAAAATCTGTTCTTTACCTGAATAGCAGAGGCGCAAAAAGGCGCAAGAATCCTAGTTCCCTTCATTCCTCCTCGATTTTATCAACATTTTTTCTAAAATAAATCTCTAAAATCCTGGGAATCGTCGACAAATTATTCAATCCATGTTAGAATTTTAATCTTCATATGAGCTTCAAGATTGATTCTTGATAGATTCCTCTGTTTTTTTTCTTTTTGAGTTTTTTGATAGGAGGATTTTCAGATTTTAATCCCCTAATTTTTTTGTCGGATTTTCGCGTCCTCCGATAATGGGCTGCGCGACGTCGAAGCCAAAAGTCTGCCATAACTGCCAGGCCCCTTATTCTCCGGTGCGTCGGAGCTACTCCGTCCAGGTGAACCACCACCACCACCACCACGTCGTTGCCCTGACGTCATCCACTTTGGGCTCCCTCAATCTCGATCCCGGAGATCCATACAATAAGCCCCGCGACGACCGTCCTCCGCCGATCCAAATTTCCGCCGGAGACGGAGAATCCGACGCCGGCGGCGGCAGCGAGAGGAAAATAACCCCCAAGGAAGAATTCGAGATGGGGATGATCGAGGCCAAGACTTGGTCCCTGAGGATCAATGACAGAATCCCCAAAATAACCCCCAAAACCCCAGTCCAAACCCCTCCCGGCGAACCCGAAACCATCAACGCTTGGGAGATGATGGAGGGCCTTGAGGACATAAGCCCACTTCGGCCCACGGCCCGACATTTTCGAAGCTTCTCCTTCCACGTCCCGTCGTGCTCCGGTGAAGACCAACCAACCCCACGCGTGAGAGACAACCGCGACGACCTGCCAGAGACAAAACCCGATTCGCCCAACCCGCCCGACACCGACTCGAATTCAAATTCGAACTCGAACTCGAACGACACATCAATCGTGTCGGAATTCGACCCGGACGTGATCGCCACTTTCCGAAAGGCCCTCGAAGAGCTTCCCCCTGCGAACCCTTTCCACCTCAAGCCGGCGGCGACGACAAATAAGGTTACGCCATGTGGCGAGAGGGTGATCGTGTACTTCACGAGCTTGAGAGGCGTGAGGAAGACGTACGAGGATTGTTGTCACGTGCGGGTCGTTTTGAAAGGTCTCGGGATTCGAGTCGACGAGCGTGACGTGTCATTGCACTCGGGTTTTAAGGATGAATTGAAGGAGTTGTTGTCGGGAGAAGGGCTCGTCGGAGGAGTCGGGTCATTGCCGAGGGTTTTTATCGGGAAGAGGTACATTGGTGGGGCGGACGAAGTTCGGAGGTTGAATGAGGAAGGGAAGCTCGAGAAGCTAGTCGAGGGTTGCGATGTTGTGGAGGATCGAGGGGAAGGGCAAAACGGTCTTTTCTGCGAGGCGTGTGGGGATATTAGGTTCGTCCCGTGCGAGACGTGTTCCGGGAGTTGTAAGGTATACTACGAAGGGGATTACGAGGAGGAAGGGGAGTTTGACGAGTGCGGTTTTCATAGGTGTCCCGATTGTAACGAGAACGGGCTGGTTCGGTGCCCGATTTGCTTCGACTAATAGAGATATTTTTTGTTGCTTGTTTTTGTGGTTATTTTGTGTTTGTTGTATAGTTTTGAGTAGTGTTTTTGTAGTGTCTGATTGTGATGAGATTTTGGGATTGTGCAGGAAGTGAAGGATAAGTCAGTGGTAAGGGCCTTGTGGTTTTGATATGGGTTCTTCACTTTGTTCTTTGCCCTTTGGAGGTTTATACTTTATATACAATGTAATACTTTTTTGTTTTTCATCATACCATGTTCTTGAACATGAAAGAAAGAGCAATGTATATGTTTGTTTTCTCTTTGAAGGAAAACATTTCGTTATAGAGATTTTTGTTGATTTACTTCTTGTTCTGTGTATTGTCATCTGCATATCTTATTTTGGGCAGGCTGGGCCAATGACACGCCAGGATTCTGAATCGTTGGATCATGACCACTCTCATTTAAATGTGTGTTGATCTAATGAGGTTTTAATCGTCTGAACCGTTGGATTATGAATGCACTCACAAAACTCGTTTATGTGTGTGTTGATCTTACGAGGTATTAATCGTCTGAATCTTTGGATCATGAACACGCTCACAATCTCGTTTAGATGTGTGTTGATCTAACAAGGTTTTAATCTTCTGAATCTTTGGATCATGAACGCCTTCACAAACTCGTTATGTGTGTGTTGAGCTAACGAGGTTTTAATCATTTGAACCTTTGGATCATTCATTCACAAACTCGTTTAGATGTGTGTTGATCTAACAAGGTTTTAATAGTCTGAATCACAAACTCGTTTATGTGTGTGTTGATCTAACGAGGATTTTATCGTCTGAATCTTTAGATCATAAACGTGCTCAAAAACTCGTTTATGTGTGTGTTGATCTAACGAGAGTTTAATCGTCTAAACCTTTGGATCATGAACGCGAGCACATACTCGTTTAGGTGTGAGTTGATCTAGCAAGGTTTTAATCGTCTAAATCGTTGGACAATGAACGCGAACGCGCTCACAGGCTCGTTTAGGTGTGTTGATAAAACAAAATTTTAATCATCTGAATCGTTGGATCATGAACGCACTGACATAGTCGTTTAGGTGTATGTTGATCTAACGAGATTTTCGTTTGGATTTGTTTAGGTATGTGCTGATCTAATGAGGTTTTAATCGCCCAAATCGTCGAATCATGAAGATCACATATATGTTTGAGTGTGTTGATCTAACAAGGTTTTAATCGTCTGAATTGTTTGATCATGAATGCGCTGACAAACTCGTATAGATGTGTGTCTATCTAACAAGGTTTTAATCGTCTGAATTGTTTGATCATTCAATGTGTGTCTATCTAACAAGGTTTTAATCATCTGGATCATGGATTTTTGGACCACAAAAAGTTTGTTTAGGTGCTTTTCTTTTTCCTCTTCCCCTTTTTCTCTTTTTTTGTTTAAGGAAACAGATGTATGCATATGGGTATAAAATCAAAGGAACTTAGAAAAAAGCATGACAAAGTGGAAGAAAAAAAAAATTGTACCCAAAAAAAAAAGTGGAAGAAAAAATGGGGTTGGAAAGCATGAAAATCAGGTTGTCAAAAAAAAATAAAATAAAAAAAATGAATAATCTTTAAAAAAACGTGTTGGTGTATTTTTTTAAGTCGAGTAATAAGATTGGCATACATATATTATCAAATTAATTTGATCGTTGATTTTTAAAACATGATAATTCATTTTTAAAAAGCGTATCTATTATATATGATTATCGCAATTACATTGAATAAATTCATTCCTGGGACCATTTTTTTTATTATTTTTTTCTTTCATTATTTATTGCCTCATCAACTTTTAGTAAAATCTGGAAACTTCAGCTGATGTTTTATTAAATTAAATGGTCGTTTTGATTAGGTGAAAATTCCTGGTCAGCGCAGTTCGTGCCGACTAATAAACTTTTTTATTTAATTATTGGAAAATGGTATGGTTCCGGTAGGATTTGTAGGAATCATTCCATCGAGATATGTAGCCGTTGATTATCATGTAACTGTTGTTAATAGTTGATTTAATAGTTACAAATTCGTACGAAATGATTGCGTAACGAAACCGTAGTATCTACTTAATTATTATATGTCTTGGAAGTCATCAAGGGTTACCAGAAAATCTGATTAAATAAAAACCTGGAAAAAATATATATTTATATTGTATATATTGTGATGGGAAATAATTAAATATCATAAAAATTTTAATTTTAATTAAAATAATATAAAATCGAAGAAATTATGGCACTTGATATTTAGGACTAATTATAATAATGAGTTTGTTGAGGTTATGGGGTAAGGTGCATTGAATCTGATTGCTACTGTAAACCATGCTTATAAAAATTTTACATTATTTAAATGTACAACCATCAAATAGATATACCCTGGGAATGCAGCAGTGTTAAAACTCTTGAGGGAGAGCTTTGCCGCCCTTGTGGTCCTACCCGGCTCGATTCCGGATTAGTCGATTCCCCTGTGGATCCGAAAACCGGAAAGTTTATGTACCAAAAAAAAAAATATGTTATTTTATTTAATGTGCAAATTGGCAATCAATATTGTGTGCCTTATATAGTTCAACTCTTACTTGATTAAATTAAATTTCAAATTTTATTGACAATCATCCTTTTTAAATATAATAAGGGATTTAATTTGATTTAAAAATGCATTTGTATTATTAAAAAAATGACTTTAGGTGCCAATGCATTTGTATTATGAAAAATATGACTTTAGGTGCTACATATATATGCTATATATA